TTTAGTTTGAACGCATGCATATTTCACTTCATTCTTGTTGTATTTGCAGACATATCGATACTCAATTATCGTATGCCACAACCAAAAGTGAGATTTAAAGGGCCACATTGCTGAAAAGCGGGAACAAGTTGGCAGGGTCAGCAACGTGTGAGGACATTCTCCGCAAGGTGGCGCGTTGAAGCTTAGGGACAAGAACACATGTGGAAAGGAAAAAAAAGCGCAGTGAGGCAGGTCGTGGTCCATAGCGCTTAAATTTGTGTGCCGTACGGATCGAATGTTGAAGTACATTTAGGAGTGCCTTGACCCTCCATATTCGATAGACCTTGTGAAGCCAAATTCGGCGTAAGTGTGTCTGTTTGAATAAATGTTGTGCTGTGCTAATTTTGTGGCTTATGTTTAGGTGGCCGACGGCAGGTCACGCCGCAATTGTGCAATTTATGTCATATGCTCCGAAGTTGATGCAACAACGACCTGGCCGTCGCGCAAAGATTGCTGGATACGCCCTCGAAGCTGCTGCGAGGAAACACTGGGCGAATACACCATCCCCTGATATTGGCAGCGCGCAAGCGCACCGACGGTATTTCTTCAGCCGGTGAGTGCGTTCCGATATGGAATAAGTGCCATAGGGATAAGCCTTCAGTAACCAGCCGCGTAGCTCGAGCGCAGTTAGTTGAATGTTAGGTTAAGCAATTTTGTTGAATGTTATGTTAAGCTATTCGTTATTTACGTTAATGTATTTATTTATTCATGCATCTAATAATTATTTAAATTTCTAAGTTGACCGTGTTCGTCAACAAAATCCGGCGTCCGGATTTTTGCCAAATTGCAGAATCCATTTTTTTTTGCACGAGCCCGCCCATACACCGAATACTTATATTGGAGCTCTAATAGGGTATGATAGGGATTGAGGGCCACCTAAAGTAATAGTCATATTTGTTCAATTTTTTTTATTTTGGTTTTATCGGATTTGGCAAGATTCCCGATTTAAATTCAAAATTGAATAGCCGTTGCAGAATACAACGCTACCTAGCGGCGTATTTAGTAATTAATACTTCATACCATGTAATGTTTGTTAATAAATTGTAAGGAAATAACGATGATCTGTGAGTAAATTAAATACAGGGGAGAATCACCGGGAGCATAGAATAAATTAGTCGTCAACTACAATAAGGGCGATGGGCAAATCGAATCCGTGCAGGCCCATTGCAGGAAGGGCGGGTACGTCGTGGCCATGAACACCAGGCCCGTCAGCTGTTTCGTTTGTTTTGTGTGTGCATGTAGGTCTTTATGTAGTGCTGTGTAGGTCGAGTTTTTTTTGAGTCTGTACCGTCCACGGGCAGGGTTGGAGTTACCCACCTCTGGGAATACTGAACTAGCCGAGGTTGCCCACTGCGAAACACTGGACGTGTTACATTCTTCTGTCTGTTAACTCTGGATGCAACCGGCTGACTTTTGATGCTCATCAGATATCGATACTCCACTGAAATCGCAACTGACTCCATTACTGGTTCTCAATGGTATCGGAGCAATAGCATCAAGGTTTCCAGATAGCTTTGATCGTTTCTTGTCTCTTTCTCTCATTTATGAAATTCCACATGTATGTATATGTATAATATATATTATATATTATTTATAATATAAAACTTACGTATTTACACATTAACTTACATATTTTAACGGGTACGTGCAGAATTAAACCTTAACTTGCATACCTATGTATTTTGGCGTGGGTATCGCATTGTGAAAGTGAATATTTTGATGCCTAGATTTATTATACTCTGATTCCGAAGGTACACGAGTATATTCGGTTTGCGTGTTTATTTGCTGTATTCAGTCAAATTGTCGCAGCTTTGTATTTTTATACTTTTGCGACTTTTATCAATCGGTCTACCCACTGATAGCACTATTCATTAATCAACAAATACAAAACAATGTCAAGCACACATTTTATTGTTACACATTTGTGTTGTGGCAGACGTTGAGCTTGGTTAGGTTCAATTTGACTTGTTTAAGCATAGTCGCAATTATTTTTCGAGTGAAACACATCTTTAGTCGCCAATATTAAATATTGAACAGCGAATTTTCATGCATGCTATCAGTATTTCAATCATGTGCACACTCATGTAATTGAAAATACAGGCATTTTGATCCTAAAAGCGAACACTTTGTTGCTCGTTGGGCACTCGCTACAGTAAAGCATCGAGCAGGGAAGGGAGTGAAGCGGCGAGCGCTTGGCAGAGAGGCAGGCGGCTGGCTGCACTCATACAGCAGGTTCTAGGCTACAACATGAGAAATTCACACATAAATTATTATAAATGCTCACATGAGCACACATCACACATACACATACGTGTATCACATGTATGTGTATAACTATATATATATATATATATATATATATATATATATATATATATATATATACAGTATATACAGTGTCTCACAGCTCATCTGGAACAGTGCCTAGCAAAAAATTTAAAGAGCTATAAGGTTTAAACAAAAAAAAAAACAAACGCAAAATGCCAATTTGTTTTATGTTATATCACGTTTGAAAAGGAAACTTCAGCTTTTATTAAATTATTAATTAATTAACTAAAATTAGTCAAAAACTGAAAACATATCCAAAATACATGTCAAATCTTTTTTGGAACAGTCTTAGAAAAGTAACATATTTGGCGTATAAAACTTGAATGAGGATGTTAATACTTAGTATGATATCCTTTAGCCTTAATAAGTTCCCTTAACCTATTATTCATGGAAGATACCAGCTTCCGGATAGTTTCTCGACTGATTTTGATCCACTCATTCCAACAGAGCCCACAAATTTTAAATAACATTTAAATCTGGAGACTGAGCCTGTGAAATTATCATGTGGGGCAGTTCCAGATAAGCCAGGACTGTACTAATCCGGACTTATGATTGGCTGTTGTCCTGGTCGTTGTCGTGGTAGAACCAGAAAGAACGCCGGATTCCTAGCTTCTCGGCACTTTGGAGTAAATTTTCCTTTAATATATTGAGATACACACTCTTGTCCATTGTTGTTTCAATAAACACCAAATTTCCGACGCCGGCTTCCGAGATAGATGCCCATACCATGACACCTCCTCCGGCGTGCTTGACTGTTGCCTTTAGGATTTTTGGATTCAGCTCAATATTGGACTGTCGCCACACATAATTCCGTCCGTCTGAGCCAAAAATGTTGAATTTAGGCTCATCTTCAAATATGAACTCCAATTCCTTGTCCAAGTGGGTTTTGACCAATGTCATCCCAGTCCCTTTATTTTTTGCGCTTGGGATTTCCCCTTATTTTCCTGATGATCCTCCGCTCCTCCTGTTCGGTGAAAATCTTGTGTGGTGCCTTTTTGCCCTTGTCCTCTATCCGATTTTCGTCGACGAAGCGCCGAATGATGTTGGATACAGTTGTGGTGCTTAGATTTACCATTTTAGCTATTTGGCGATATGAATATCCAATCTTGAAATGTACCAGGATGAGATTCCGTTGGTCCATGGTAGTCCATTTGCCCATAGTCCTTGTTGGCTGGTTGCACCCGAGATGCAGGATATAACTAAACTGACTACGAAGAATTGATCTATTTATTCCGAAAATAATCAACCTGACGTAAAAAATCCGGGTTTTATGGCACCCAGGTGTCCATAATGCCACTGTAGGAAATAAACTGTGACCCTAAATTAAGGTACTTTTTTACATAACCCGACCTAGCAGGTGGGGAAACCCCAGTTTTGGTGGCTAATATATGTACCTGCCATCGGTCTTTGGAATTTTTTTAAAAATATTGTATAATTAGTTTATGGCAGGCAATTAAAATTTTTGCTAGACACTGTCGGAAATAAGATGTGAGACATATATTAATTAAATGTGAAATTTATTTAAATATTCAATGTGCATTTGTGAGTGAGGCAGAATCGAAAGGCTAAGTGAAAGGTAGCAGTGTCTCTAATGCCACTTTGTAATGCACTTGAACGCGGCGCCGAGATTCTACGGATGGAGAAAGGGCACACAAAGAAATATACACTGGATAATGGAGCGGACATGGACAACATCGCATATCAATGCAATCGTTAGTCCGCTTTGGTTTTAGATTTATAGACCAACGCAGTGCAGCCATTGCAGACCACTTGGCTCAAATAGGAGGAGGGAAGTGAGAAAGGTCTGCAGACGCACAGTATGGTATAAGAGAAATGGTTGGCTAAGACTTGCGATTGCTGGAGCATCAGAAATTTAAGGGGATTTGCGTGCTAGTTAGCGAGTGTCTCAGTTCCGACAGTTCAGCTGGCAGCAGGCTTGAGCTGGCTGAAGCTGCCTCAAGCTGTGTGCCGCCGTCGCAGTGTCAATACGATATGGCAATGGTTCAATAGTTGGGAAAACGTTTGCCCAACCCCAACAAGTACATGTGTGTGTCAATGCTACATGCATCGCTAAGCATATAGGGGCGTGGTCATCGTAACCCCCAACAATTGCCTGGAAGCCAGCCAGGCTTCAGCTGCAAGTGGCCAGGCAACAGTTCGCCATTGTGGTGCGATTGCCTGCATTTCAAGCTAAGTAAAAAATATTCTATGAGAATGTTGCAGTTGTGGCCGACCGCGGGAATACCCTTGCACCTGTTAAGTACCAACAAACAACTGGTGGCAAATAACTTTCATGTTTGGTTAGGAGTGGGGATGGAGCGGGCGTTGATTAGTTGTGCCTCGACTTTTTAAGTATTTTAGGTGCGATTTTGTGAATTTTGGGGTATGTAAATTTATGTGTCATTCTTTGAAGAACATCGACGAAGGAAGGCAATCTACGTTTCAGACTTTGGTCACTCCACCTTTCAATTTGTGGGAGATTTGCAATTATCGATTTCCCAGCCCCCATTATATACTTATATTCCAATTTGAAAAGGTTTCACTCATAGAGACGTCCGTATTCTTTTATTTTTGAAATTATTTTTTATTTTATATATAATCAATTATTTTTATTAAATAATGTAACATTTCTGTTTTACTATTATTGTGATTGTTTTGGCGTTGGTTATATAATATATTTATCAAAACATGAAATTGTACTTAAATCAATAGATTTAGCAGAGGGTCGCATGTCCGGCTCTTGATGCCAACAATCTTCAATCAATTCTAGCAATGGATCACATTTCTTTATAAGTTTGACTTCCAGATCGGGCCGTTCCCCACTTAGAGTAAGATATTTCCTTGCTTCTGCCACGCTATTCTCAAGGTGATCGAAAGGCCTCCTGCGCGACATTACCTCCCATAGAATAATGCCAAAGCTGTAAATGTCGCACTTTTCCGTATATTCTTTTCCTTTGAGAACCTGCGAGTGATCCATTCAATTTACGAATATTTTAACTTTATGCAAATTTGTTGCTTATAACACAAACCTCGGGTGCTACATAAGAAGGGGTTCCAATTTCGCTCGTATTTGTTGTCGCCAATTCTCTGACAGTGCCAAAATCGCCAATCATCAAATGTTTGAAATTTTTGGTTAGTAGCAAATTTGAAGTTTTCAAATCTCGATGAATAAGGGGCGGTTCCTTGCCATGCATATAAGTTATAGCCTATAAATGAGAATGAAAACATAATTATATGTTTTCATTTACAGTGTACGAACGAACCTTAACAGTCTGAATCATCCAGTCAATAGCATCTGACACTTTGTAACTATGCTGTTCATCGTCATGTAAGTATCCGTAGAGAGATCCACAGTCTGCATATTCCATAAGTATATAAACAGACTCCGAATCAGTGGTGGTCCCATATAATTTTACAATATTTTCGTGGTCAACAAGTGAAAGCATCTTGACCTCATGATTAAATTTTGTAAGGACATTGCTTTTTGGCATTAGCTTTATTTCTTTTAACCCAATAACTAAATTACCCCATTTAGCTCTACAAACAGAGCCAAAGCTACCTCTCCCAATTTCCTGCAAGGTTAAAATTGAATTATCTCAAGGTTAATTTATTTTGTGTCTTGATACCTCGTATTTATCTATATCCCCAATATTGATAGTATCTGAGTACGGTGTCCTGTGGGAAAATTGAATAAAATTAAGCGATATCGGAGAGGAAAAATAAAGAAGAAAAATAATTAATGTTTAACTAAATTAGTTATTATTAATATTAGATAAATATTTTCTCACATATCCTTATGTTCAGAAGTTCTTCGTCCAGAATGTTGAGGCCACTGGATCAGAAATTACATTGAAAATATGTTTATAATTTAAAAGTCTAAGCATAAGCATACTATAAATTACCTTGTGTGGACCCGTTGGTTTTATCAAATTAGAAGCTATTAAAGGATCAAGGGCTCTGCAACCAATTACGTAATAAAAATTGATTTAATTATCTTACAATTTTGTACTTGTTGAAATTTATTTCAATCTTACATGAGTATATCCGTGAGTTCAGAAGCGATTTCTTTCATTTCTACAGTTGTACTCCAGCTGTTCAGCTGGCTCCAACAACGTGAAATTATTTTTTTTATGGGCTCTATGCCTTCTGCAGTAAGAAAGTCCGTAATTTTACCTTCCCCGAAATTTGTAAAAGCCTTCGTGCGTAAAAACACCTCCGCCAAAATACTTCCAAAGTTTTCAACGTCGTAAATAGTACTATTCCTTTTAGACCATTGAATGCCAAAAATTTTCAAGATTCGGTAGTCATCGGTTAGAAGTAGTAGGTTATATGGCCTCAAACGTTCATGGATAACAAGCTTCGGTGTCATGGCATGCAAGTAAGCTAAACCCTATAATTGGAAATGTCAATTGCAATATTGCAATTGCATAATTGTCAAACAAGAGTTTATCCATAAGTTTTACAACAGACCTTGGCACACTGGATCATCCAATTAAGCGCACGCGCCACTGTATACTCAAACTCTTCTTCTCCATACAAATATTTGTGAAGGGATATACCCTCTGGGTAATTCATTAGTATAAAAAATGTATTATCATGGATGGTCATTCCATAGAGTTCCGCAATATTCTCATGCCTAACGCGGATAAGGTTTCTGACCACTCTTACAAAACAGTCGAAGTTGAAATCGTCCCCTTCAAAAGACTCCCTTGTGCATCGCTGCACTGCGATCTGTTGTTGATGCCAATTAGCTTTGTAGATATTCCCGAAGGTACCTTTCCGAACACTTTCCTGATGGGTGAAAATAATGGTTTTAATAAATGAATTATATTTTATTGTATGTTACCTTTTCAATATCAATTTCCTCAAATTGTACATCCGGAAGTACTTCAGCTTCAAGCCTAGCTACTTTTTTAAACTCCCTGGGAATATGTAACAAATAGAATTAGTTTATTGATATTGAAAAACATAAATTTATTGATTGATAGAAAAGGTGATTTATGAGATATCTGTTATTGCTCTTACAACTTACCCAGGATTATTCAGCAAATCGATTAGTTCCATAATTGTGGGACGCTCTTCTGGTTCCGCCCAGCAGCTTTCAATTATTTCCTTGATGTCATTAAACTTGGAATCAGTTAAATCACTAAGATCCGGGCGTTCGCCTGAAAAACTTAAAAATGTTTTAAGCTATATTGTTATTATTTTAACTTCCGTACCTTCAATGATCGCTTGTAAATTAGTATAACTGAGCGGTTCTTCCCATTGATAAAAGGGCTTTCTGTGTGAAAACACCTCACATACAACAATCCCAAAGCTATATACGTCGCTCTCTTTTGTATGCGGGTTTCCGTCCAACACCTATTTTATTAGTGTTTATGAAATTATGTCATTAGTGTTTATATATTCTATTTTTTTTTAACTTCCCATTCATTTAGGGAATACAAACCTCTGGTGCTACATACGCTTTATTTTGATGGATGAAATGCGCATCCTCATCGGCCGGAAAACAATAATCACTTATTTTCAAAAGCGTAAAGTTATTGAACAGCAACATATTTTGGGAATTTAAATTGCCATGTATTCCTGTGATTATTTTCGTACGCAAGAGGTACTCAATACCCTTCAAGAGAAAAAAATGAAATCAAAATCTGTTAATTGGTTGGACAAATAAGTAAGTGCAAAGTACCTTTGCCGCCTGATACATCCAGTGGAGGGAATTTGAAATGGTATAATCTCGCTTTTCCTCACCATGCAAATAGTTGTAGAGTGATCCGCAAGTAGTATATTCCATGAGTAGATGCGCTATTTCCTGACTATCATAGGTTATGCCATATAATCGTACAATATTGTCATGGGCATTGCTGGAGAGAAGTGTAATCTCGTCGACAAGACCAGGTCTTATGTTATTTTTGCAAACTTTAATGTATTTTTTTAATCCTATCTCTATATCGCGCCATTCAGCTCTGTAGACAATGCCATATTCACTTTTCCCAATGACCTGTAGAAAACATATTTCAGATAGAACAAGTGAGAACGCTGCAGTCTGATCTCAGTATATTACGAGCTGATAACTGGTGGCAAAGAAATTGTTTGTCGTGGTAGGGGTAGAGCAGCAATGGGTGCGTGTGTCAAACATTGGATAATATTTAATGTGCTTTTCAAATTGCGGGAGATATAAGTATAGCGATTTTTAGGAAGGGATGGTCATAGCCAGGAATTTGTATTGTCAACCTTAGGAGAATGTTGATAGTCATCAAAATTTCAAGTTTGGAAACTCTTGCTCTAACATTGTGTCTCATATATGCTTTCGTGTTGCTGAAGATGGGATGGGAGTGGCCAAGGAATTTCTTACCAAATGTTCCTCGTGACCTATCTTCCAAATGTAGAAGAGATCGGAGATAGTGTTAGCAGTAATATACATATAAAATTTGGTGACTAGCTTAAATAGAAGATATATAGCTTTATCGATTTGCGTTACATCGTTCAGACGGACATGACAAAACCAATATACTCTTATTAAAGTATAAAAGCAGAAGCCAATTTGGCAGATTATTACATATTCACACAGCTTTATCTCCTTAAAATCGACGATACGCGGCTTTCTGAAAAAAATAGTTACTCAATTTAGTAATTAAAATTAAATATTGTGCTAAGATGTATTAGTAATTACCTCCATTTTTTCGTGTCAGACTCGACGTCCTTTAGTTTCTCCACTAATTCATCCATTCTATGTCGTTCTGCCGGTTCATTATGCCAACAATTTTTAATGAATATTTCTAATGGCTTGGAGGCCTTTACAGCGATATACTCAATGGGCGGACGTATACCTGTAAGAGTCAAAATGATGTAATCACTTCGGTAGGATGTCAACGTTCGTACCTCTTTTGACTGCTCTACTAATTAGTAATTCTTTATCAGTATATTCCTCATTTTGATACTGCTCGAAAGGGCTCTTGCGTGCCAATACCTCCCAGAAGATAATACCATAGGTATATACGACGCTCTGCTCTGTGTAAACTCCATCTTTGAGAACCTACGCACAAATTAATTTACATATAACATACATGATTACAATTTTCTTGGGTATCACACAAACCTCCGGTGCTATATAGCATTTATCTAAATTATTTTTCAACAATTTGCTATCATCGAACTCAATACAAAAATTACATAAGGTCACAAGGGTATTATTATCCATTAACTTCAAGTTTTTAGGCTTTAAATTGCATATGACACGTGGGTCTAGGTTCTCTACACATAAAATGTATTCAATGGCCTACAAATGAAAAGAGTATGCATGATCTGTAAGTTATTTGAGTACCAGTAATATAAATATTTTCGTTATAGCAAATACCTTAGCAAGAGAAATCATCCAACTGAAAGCGTGATCAACATTAAGGGGTAGCATCTTGTTGTGCACGTAGTCGAGTAGGGTTCCACCATCTAAGTACTTTGTTAGCAAATATGCAAATTCTCCATCAAGCGCGATGCCAAGTATAGGTACAACATTGCAATGCGATAAAAGCATTAGCTGCCTGCCTCGTTCTTCGACGATTTCGTCGATTGTGTATTTAAATTTTTTTACAGCAATTGTCAAAAAATAACACGTTGCCTCGAACGTGACGCCAAAATTTCCTCTTCCGATTTCCTGGAAGATGTATTTAAAACAATAAATATTATAAGAAAGCTTATGTAGTATTTCACACCACAATAATGACAAAAAATGAAATCAAAATCTTGTATTTCTACCTGGCGTATTTCAATTACTGCAAGGTCAATTGCTCCAAGGTCAATTGCTACAAGGTCAATTGCTGCAAGGTCCATTCCTGCATAGTCAATTTCTTCAAAGTCAAGTTTTGTTCCTTTATCGAAATTTGTCCAATTCAATGTTGAATGCTTACGTTGGCTGCAATCAAAGAAATCACCCGAAATATATAACATATTTAAGTGTTAAATGTCGTATTTCTCTCACCTAACACAGTCTCTGATATCGGAGAATATCTCATTAATCGCTGTCCTCTCTCTCGGAACCGATTTCCTGCATTCTTTTATTAATTTATCGATAAGCTCAGAGTTGGGTATTTGTATTTCACTAATTACAATATGATTGTTTGCTAAGAAAGTAATGGAATTAACAACTGAATTTTAGTACTTTTTTGTAGGTCATTCACCTTTGAATATAAGATTATTAGTAAGGTGTAAAGGTGGATGTAAGTGATTGCACGGAATCATGCGTGACAACAACTCCCAAAATAATATTTTAAAGCTGCGTATTTTGCACTGGTGATAGTGCTGTCCTAGGTCTCTTATCTGCGATAAAGAAAAATTAAGCAGGTTATATTTATATATAAATCGTATCTCATTTATAGATAACCTGCGGTGATATATAATCGCAAACGGTATTTCTGAAATGTTTATCATAAATGACACAGATATTTAAGGTGTGAAAGCAATCAGATAACTCAAGTCCTTCGGTATATATATCTCGGTTAGGTTCCTCGGAAAGAATGTGTTGAAGACTCTATAATTCAAAAGAAGATTAGAAGCTATTTAAGTGCATAGGCCATCAAATATGCATCGTACCTGTTGCTCCCAATGTAAGAAATTACTCAAATGCTCACCGTCGTCATACACATTCGCCATTGGTTTGTCAAAATCGTCCTCTTTATAATAAAATGTTGACTGAAATTTTAACTCTGTTAATTTATATCTAAAATATTTGAATATCAATAAGACGTACATTTCTTGAGCCCATTCTTGTTAAGTTCTGCACTTAAATGTGTTTACATATATATTTTATGACCGGCACGTAGACCAAGTATTTCCGTTCACTTGATCGAAAACTTGAAAAAATTAGCGATTACTCAGCAGCAGATCAATTGCGCACTTCGTGTGTGAATATAAAACGGTTGTTCCACATCAAGCTGGTGGTCAGACCATTGATATAGATCGTTATCGTTATCGCATGCTATATACAGAGTTGCATGTCATATTACAGATGTTATGTTACAGTCTGAGTATACGTCACTAGTGACCTGCTACAATATGTAGAAATTATGGTATACAGTTTATATTATTATCATAATGGATGGCACAGTGGAATACATTGATATGTTTGTGCTTAAAGATATTTTAGTTTGAACGCATGCATATTGCACTTCATTCTTCTGTCTGTTAACTCTGAATGCAACCGGCTGACTTTTGATGCTCATCAGATATCGATACTCCACTGAAATCGCAACTGACTCCATTACTGGTTCTCAATGGTATCGAAGCAATAGCATCAAGGTTTCCAGATAGCTTTGATCGTTTCTTGTCTCTTTCTCTCATTTATGAAATTCCACATGTACATGTGAAATTGTACATGTGTATGTATATGTATAATATATAGTATATATTATTTATAATATAAAACTTACGTATTTACACATTAACTTACATATTTTAGCGGGTACGTGCAGAATTAAACCTTAACTTGCATACCTATTTTGGCGTGGGTATCGCATTATGAAAGTGAATATTTTGATGCCTAGATTTATTATACTCTGATTCCGAAGGTACACGAGTATATTCGGTTTGCGTGTTTATTTGCTGTATTCAGTCAAATTGTCGCAGCTTTGTATTTTTATACTTTTGCGACTTTTATCAATCGGTCTACCCACTGATAGCACTATTCATTAATCAACAAATACAAAACAATGTCAAGCACACATTTTATTGTTACACATTTGTGTTGTGGCAGACGTTGAGCTTGGTTAGGTTCAATTTGACTTGTTTAAGCATAGTCGCAATTATTTTTCGAGTGAAACACATCTTTAGTCGCCAATATTAAATATTGAACAGCGAATTTTCATGCATGCTATCAGTATTTCAATCATGTGCACACTCATGTAATTGAAAATACAGGCATTTTGATCCTAAAAGCGAACACTTTGTTGCTCATTGGGCACTCGCTACAGTAAAGCATCGAGCAGGGAAGGGAGTGAAGCGGCGAGCGCTTGGCAGAGAGGCAGGCGGCTGGCTGCACTCATACAGCAGGTTCTAGGCTACAACATGAGAAATTCACACATAAATTATTATAAATGCTCACATGAGCACACATCACACACACACATACACATACTTGTATCACATGTATGTGTAGAACTATATATATATATATGTACATGTATATATATACAGTATATATGTATATATATATGTATATATTTATATATATATGTATATATGTAAATTGTGCGGATAGAGCGGACTGAACCGCACGTCATTGGCTAACAATTTACATAAAAAACTAATTTTGCTTGAGGCTGGCACTCGAGTTGACCAAAATGACTAAATGACCAACTGATGCATCTGATGTTGAATGCTGATACCGATGATGGAATGCCAACAGAAGGACACACACAAACATATACATATATATATATATATATATATATATATATATATATATATATATATATAGAAATTAAATTCACACGTTGCACATTGCATAATCCAAGCGATCAGCATAATAATCCAAATTCATGCGTAAGAACAGTTTCAATATCAGAGCGGGGCCTGTACCACAACTGTGGGCCATCATTGTGGCGATTAGTTACATATGCTGTCCGGGCATTTAAGCTCTCCGAGCCAAGTCAGGCAAGTGCTGATGGGTCGCCGCCGGCGACTGTCTGCCCAAAATGCAAATGCATAATTAAAATAATTTTGCAGACATGCGAACGGAAGCAATGAACATGCGACTCGGCTGCCCAGCATATATCATCCACTTGCAAAATGCTCCCTCACACTCTTTTGGTCTCGGACTGGTAGTCGGTGCCATAAGCTGCAGTCGTTACTTGAAAGCGCACTTGGTCGCAGTTATGGCTCTCGTTGAGCAAAAGTGCAATGACTGAAATATATGTCAAAGCATGGCCAGCAATCGTCTGCAAGCAGTCGCAAAGCCCAAAACCAAAACCTAAGCCAAAACCAAAACTGGAGTGAACCGAACCAGGGCACGTAATTAGATGCACGATAGTCATCAGAGGCCTATGAAATGCGAGAGCGTACAAATTATATTACATTCGAGTCTATGTATTCCAGTTCCTATTCATATTAATGCCGCCGGTGCTAGAATGCGACCATTGCAATGCCAAATAAAAGTCGCTTCTATTGCCTGATTGCATGCAAAGTATGCTACACGCTTTTACGAGCATAGTCGTTCCGACACTTGTGTGATTTACGCGAGATCTGGCAAAAACTTACACCCAAGGAAAAAATAAAAAAAATATGCATTGAACAAAAAAGGAAAACAATTCAACAAAGAGTTTTATGGTGTAGTCAAAACAACGAATCGACTTTTGCATACCCTAAAGAAAATGTTATTTGTAGAGAACTCGATAGCAATATCGAGCTGAGATAATTCTGAATCAATTGAGTGTTCTAAGAAATGAATTTAACAATTACTAAGAAAGACATGAAAAATCAAATATCAATTTTGTAAAACAAAAAAAAAAAATAAACACTCAATACAAATTGAACACCGTGAGATAAACTGAATTAATAATAAAATATACAGGTTTTTTTTTTGCTCTTTTGCCGAGTGCCCAACATGCCCTTCGCTGGATGGAAGAGGCGATGCGGCCGGCCACAAACATGCGTGTGCCTGTATGGTACCAACTTCACACCTCGCCGGCCGAATAAGTAAGGAGTACACTGTTCGGGAGTTGCGTTTGGAAGGGCGGAAAACAAACGCTGGCAGCAATGAAATGCAATGCGCAAAATGCATTTCCCGCGACTACACAATTGAAGTAATAAATCACGCCTGGTGGCAACAGCGTCATTGCACGGGAAGAGGGGGAAGGGGCATGGGAATCGCAAGGGTGGCCACATGGGCAATGTGGCCAAAGCGGCGAAGATTTTTTATGTCTGTAACTGCAAAAAAATGGCTGCCAGTACCAAAATGTTTGCAAGTGTGTACGTATTGCAAAGCTACATGCTCACACACACACAGAAGCATACATATGTGTGTGTAAATATTAAGTGCAATCATGTGGAAATACGCGAGAAATGGCAGCCCGGAGATGGGAGACGGAGACTACCTATTAAAATGTTCGCTCATTAATCATCGGCACAGCAACGCCGCGTTTTGCTTGTTGTTGCTTATTTTATTTAAATATTTCACTGAAGTCGAAAAAAAATATAAATAAATAAATAAAAAGAAAAAAATGTGTGCCAAAAATAAAAAGGAAATAAAATTGCAAATTTATGCACTTTTATGGGCGGCAATGGGTTGAAATATTTCTCAACTGCCACATAAATATTCCCAAAAAAATGTAATACATTTCATAAAGTTCTTCGTCGATTTCTATAACAGCGTTTTTTCTTCTTTTTTGTTTGTTGTTTTGGTTTTAATGCCAGAGACAACTGTAAATAACTGCAACAAATTGTATTTACTGTACATATTGCGCATACGCCGCATTGCACACAATAAATGAAAGTTAATTTAGCACACACATGTAGTATATGTGAATGTACATGATGTACTAAATCTAGGCAGGGATGCACAAAAAAAAAACTGTTGCATTATTCAGAGAGATTGAAACTAAAAAACAGGCATGTTCCCTGCTCAGCTGTGCAGAATTTCGAAATTAATTTAAATGACTTGCTTAATAAAATGCCCATTCAAATGTGTAATTGGCGTGGTTGGATTTGATTGAGCGTAAATGCAAATTACTCTGCTATGCGGGGATAGCAAGGGTAAGATCTATAGTATAATAAATAAAGTTCAATGCAATTCAGTGAAAGGACTCAGCTCTGAAATTCTGTGGTACAAAAAAAAAGTATAAAACTGAAACAAATATAATCATTTGGTATGGTTGACTTTTCAAAGATTAAAATCATATATATAAAAATATTTTGTCTTACCTGCTGAATTACATTTTATTTGCACCATTTATATTATCTGTATTCAGAAATATTTGTTAATTTAATTTCATTATTCTCAGCTGAAAAATATTCAACAATATCATTTTGAACCGGTAACAAACCATTTACAATCTGCCAGAGACCAATAATCATGATAGGATTGAGTTTTAAATAGAACAAAATGGTGTTCACCAATATAGGGATATATTTGTATTTTCTGTTAAACAGCTGCAGTGTGTATTTGAAATTAAATAAAAACATTTTGAAAATATCACTAAATTGAACACCGTATAAAGTGAACTAACCAGTTGCTAACTAATTAAATTCAATTCAACGCTTAACCTTCCCCACAGAGACACGCGGAACAGCAGAAAAAAAAAGAGAGAAAAAACAAACAGCAGCACAAACAAATGCAGCACTTAAATAGAATCTGTGTCACTTAAGCTTCTTCCACTTTTATTTATAATCTCGCATACACAGTTGCAGTAATCAGGAATGGTTAGAAAAAAGGGCGTTCTCTGGGCGTGTCGTGGCAAAACAACACAATTACAAATGCGCTGTCGTCGAGACACCGCTTGATATTGCCACGCCCCAATGCAACGTCCTTATTTTCAAGCTGTCACAAAACTCAAGGCATTTCCTGTCTCGGGCCCAGCCCCAGTCCCTGACCCTCTGTCGTTCCCCGCCCCAGCACTTGGGTCCACTTGGCTGACCCTGCAGTCTAATTAATAATTTAAAGCTCAAACACAAGGCGCCTTTTCAGGCGAAATTTCGGTTGCATTTTAATTATTTAATTTGCGACGTGGTCAGAAAGTGCCAACTGTCGACCCGTCGCGACTTTTAGCTCACCCAAAAAGTCAATTTAGAACAACTTTTCGTCTGGCAAATTGTAAAGCTCTTGTTTACTTGCCAAGTCTGGCAAAACAAAAAATCATTCAATATGTCAATGGCCAATTTTCAAGCG